TCTTGATCTCTTGACCTCGTGATCCACCCGCCTCGGCCTCCCAAAGTGCTGGGATTACAGGCGTGAGCCACCGCGCCCGGCCTCCTTCTCTACCTTCTAATCAGGCCTATAAGATTTGTTCTCCCACCTTTCTACCTTTGAACAAACTTCATTAGTTCTATCTGTTTTAGCAATGATTCTATTTTTCACCCTTTCACTGTCACATTACATAAAGTAAGAAAGATCTATACACATTGCCCCAATTATCTCGCCTCCCCTCTTATGCTCTGTAACGGTCTCATATTCTAAAAAGCACTATGAAGGGGTACTGAGGACATCATTTAATGCAATAGTCTTTTCTTTTCTTAGTTTTCATTCACTTAGCCTCTCTGCAGAGTTCCAGAGTACCCTCATTCTGAATGTACTTCAACTACCACCCTTTATGAAGATCCTTTTACATTTTCAGCTCCACCAGAGCAGTAGTTTAACACTAGTTAGGTATCAGAATCATCTATGGAGATTTAAAAAAATCCTCAAGGCCAGGCTCCAGTGGCTCATACCTGTAATCTCAGCACTTTGGGAGGCCAAGGTGGGTGAATCACAAAGTCAGGAGTTTGAGACCAGCCTGGCTAAGATGGCAAAACCTCGTTTCTACTGAAAATACAAAAAGTTAGCCAGGTGTGGTGGTACACGCCTGTAGTCCCAGTTACTCAGGAGGCTGAGGAAGGAGGATCACCTGAACCCAGGAGGCGGAGGTTGCAGTAAGCTGAGATCGCGCCACTGCACTCCAGCCTGGGTGACAGAGTGATACTCTGTCTCAAAAAAAAAAAAAAAAAAAAAAAAAAACCTCAAAGCCCTATCTCTACAGATCCTGTAGAAAAAAAAGTACAGCCAGAGCATCTATTTCAAAAAACTCCACGGGTTCAATTAAGGTTGATAACTAAAACAAGAGAAAGATAGTTTCATCTTTCTTTTGAATCCCAAGACTAATCTGTTAATGAATTTCTTTGCACATACATCATATGTCTCAATAATTTCAGGAGGCTTATCATTTAAATAAAGATTTGAGGGATTTTTCTGGGAAATGTCACATCCTAGAGTATATATAATCATATTATTGGCTCCTTTCCAAAGCAACATACAAATATTCCCATCTTTCTACCTCTATTAAGAACAGCTTTCTCAATTTTTTTAGTCTCAGTACCTCTTTACACTTTTTTTTTTTTTTTTGTAGAGATGGGTTCTCCCTGTGTTGCCCATGCTGGTCTTTGATGTCCTGGGCTTAAGCAATCCTCCTGCCTTGGCCTCCCAAAGTGCTGGGATTACAAGCATGAACCTCTTTACACACTTAAAAATTATTGAGGACTCCAAAGTTTTTGTTTCTGTGGGTTATATTTACTGCAATTAAAATACAAACTTTTTTGAGATGGAGTCTCGCTCCTGTCGCCCAGGCTGGAGTGCAATGGTGCAATCTCAGCTTACTGCAAACTCTGCTTCCCAGGTTCAAATAATTCTCCTGCCTCAGCCTCCCGAATAGCTGGGATTACAGGCTGCACCACCATGCCTGGCTAATATTTCTATTTTTAGTAAAGATGGAGTTTTGCCATGTTGGCCAGGCTGGTCTCAAACTCCTGACTTCAGGTGATGTGCCCACCTTGGGCTCCTAAGGTGCTGGGATTACAGGCATGAGCCACTGCGCCTGGCCAAAATAAAAACTATTAATAAGCTAGTTAAAAATCATTTCACTTAAAAAATAATAAACTCATTACACATAGGGTAAGCATCTCTTTTTAAATGAAAAAGAACAAATTTTTGTAACTTTTATTTTCAGGTCAGAGGTACATGTGCAGGACATGCAGGTCTGTCACATAGGTACACATGTATCACAGGGGTTTCCTGTACAGATTATTCCATCACTGAGGTATTAACTCTAGTATCCATTAGTTATTTTTTATTTTCTAAAACAAAAATATTTAGTAAGAAGGGTGGTACTGTTTTGCATCTCTTTGGCGTTTGCCTTAATAGAAGACAACTAGATTTTCACAACTGCTTGTTACAGACTGAATGTCTGTATCTCTCCAAAATTCACAAGCTGAAATACTAACAATATGATTGTATTAACAAGTGAGGTCTTTGGGAGGTAAAGTTATGAGGATGGAACCATCGTAAATGGGATTAGTGTCCTTATAAAAGTGACCCTGGAGAGCTCTCTAGCCTTTCTGCCATACAAGGATACCAAAAGAAGTCCACAGTCTGCAACCTAAAAGAGAACCTGACCTTGCTGACATCCTGATCTCGGACTGCTAATCTCCAAAACTGTGCTAAATAAACTTGTGTTGTTTATAAGCTACCTAGCCTACAGTACTTTATTACAGCCCACTGAAGTGAGTAAGACCCTGCTTTTGCATTCAATCTACTTTAATTATCAGACATCATGTAGACTCTGGCAAGGCCTACTGTACATTCCTGAGAGAGTAAGAGTGAAAATACAATTAATGTCTTAGTATTAATATAAAACTAGCTTTGATCTTGTGGATTCCCAAGTCTTAGGGATCCCTGATGGTCTCCTGATGACATTTTGAGAACAACTGCTATACCATTCTACCAAAGAAGAACATTTGGGTTGTTTCTCCAAGAATCTGAGTGCCTAAATTATTTTTCACGTCTGAAGTAAGAAGGATTTCATTCATTTACTTGTTCAGCCATCAGAAATCATATTGCGGATCTGCAAAGAGCTCTCTGTCCCACTTATTTCTCTTACCTCAAGCTAACATCCTCATTGACATTACAATACGGAAATCTGAACTTTTTTCTAGCCAATAAGAGTTTAAGACAATCCCATCTCTGTACATTCAGTAACAGCGGTAGCTGTTCATTTTAGCCCGTCACATGTAAGCAATAAACATACAAGGGCAAGCTCAATGTTACGAGATCTTAAGCTGCCCCTAGATATCATTTATTTCAAGGCTCAGATCATAACACCCATAAAAGAAAAGTTTTCTTCTGATCCTTCGTGGACCAGATCATATTTCACCTTATCCATTAAATCACTCCTAATTTTCTTAGTACAAAATCTCTAAAGTCCTATATATAGTACTATTTCAATTTCTATTATGACGTTTCTCACATAAACTACCTTTTTCATCTTATCTCTAATACTAAAAATTACTTCCTTGAAGTACGAGACCCCATCTTTATGTAACCCCAGGACCTGGCAAGTTTAAAGCATCTATCAAGTATTTAACACTGAAATAGGCCAGGTGTGGTAGCTCACACCTGTAATCCCAGCACTGTGGGAAGCCAAGGTGGGCAGATCACAAGGTCAGGAGTTCAAGACCAGCCTGGCCAACTTGGTGAAACCCCATCTCTACTAAAGATACAAAAAAATTAGCCAGGCATGGTAGCGTGAGCCTGTAATCCCAGGCACTTGGGAGGCTGAGGCAGGAGAACTGCTTGAACCAGGAGGTTACAGTGAGCTGAGATTGTGCCACTACACTACAGCCTGGGTGACAGGACAAGACTCTGTCTCAAAAAAAAACAAAAAAAAACAAAAAATACTGAGTATATTAATGTTAAATATTTGATAAACATTAATTAATGAATATATTTCTGGCTTCTAAGAACTCTCAACAGTTATTTTTAAAACAAATCATACAAAAAATATAGTATGTTCAGTAACATTTAAAAGAAATATTTAAATATAAATCATTGCAACTAAACTTCCTTTGCTACAGTTAAATACCTGTCATTAAATGCACTCGCTTAGGTTCAACTGTTCAAAAAATCATTAGAGATGAATAAATTTTTTTTAGAGCCCAATATCAGTTACATGTGCCTTTCTTGACACAGTCTCATGCTGGAGTGCTGTGATGCCATCACAGCTCACTGCAGCCTTCATCTCCCAGGCTCAGGCTAACTTCAGCCTCCCAAGTAGCTGGGACCAGAAAGACGCACCACCACACCTGGCTAATTTTTTTTGTTTTTTGTAGAGACAGGGTCTCCCTATATTGCCTAGGCTGGTCTCAGACCCCTGGATTCAACTGACCCTCCCAAAGTTCTGGGATTACAGGCATAAGCCAGTATGCTCAGCTTCAGCTATACATATTTTGAGGATATATTGGGATATTAGCTGTAAACACAGAACTAATTATGTTCAACCTACTGGAGATTGTTTTTCAACACACAGAATAAAAATCAATTTGGAAGTTAGTTTGCCAACGTATTTTTACATATCTGAAAAAGATTCAGTTCTATTTGAACAAAAATTTATTCTAAAATGCTGATATTGCTGATAAAAAAAGTTAACAAGCCATATATATTAGTGTTCAATTACTGCCTTCAATCTAGATGGTTATAAATAAGCTTCCAGATTATAAAAAAAATAACTAAATGTATACAGTTTCACATTATATCTAAAGCATTCAATTCTGAGTTTCACCCTTGGAGGATTTAACAAATCCTAAAGGTCTTGGATGGTAAGATAAGGAATCTGGAGGTCACTTACAATGCAGAACATAACAGTAGTCTCCTCGTACTTACAGGGTTCGCATATACAAAAGAGAATTTGCTTTCTATAACTTTACAAAGTGACAGGCATACTTTAATTAAGAGGCCAGACACAGTGGCTCATGCTTGTGAGGTAGTATGCTCTTTTGCAGAACATTTAAGCTGGAGTTAGCCACTCATTAGGCAGACTATTAAAAGAACATCTCACTTGGATAGAGATAGGAACTTATGATATATAAGATCCTTTGCAATTCTAAACTCTGAACATAATATAGACTACGTATAAACTGAAGTTACTTTAAAATGACTTAAAATATTTAAGAAACAGTGATATCACCTATTGAAGGCTATTTAAATTTCCACCAGGTTTTAGATCTAAACAAAAACCTAGGCACAGAGGAAATATAAAACACCAAGAGTATTGATGCATTTCTTCCACGTGTTAAGCATATGCTGAAAACAGTACACTATGAACACACGCCAGCTTTTCATTAAAGCTTACTATCAAAACATACCAGAATTCTGTTGGATTCCCCATCGTACTCTCATCCTGAATTGCCGGGCACCATTTTGCTGGAGGAGTCTTCTATTTAGTCTCGGAAAATTCTGCTTCTTTCCTTCCTTTCGATTCAATTTGATGATATCATCTATGATAGAGGAAATGCCAATTATTTTCATTTTAACTTAGTCTCACTTTCTTTTTTTTTTTTTTTTTTTCTAAATAAAGACGGGGTTTCACCATGTTTGTCAGGCTGGTCTTGAACTCCCGACCTCAAGTGATCCAACTGCCTTGGCCTCCAAAGTGCTTGGATTACAGGCATAAGCCACCACGCCTGGCCTAGTCTCACTTTCCAGCTGATAAGATTTTCTACGTTCCTAACTTCTTTTCTACTTTTAAAGCAATTCCATAAGAGGATAATAACAAGAATCAGCCATTTCACAATAGCCCAAACAGATCTACCAATTAATGAAGAGTGCTATTAGCCATAGTACTTCCTTACCTGATGAATTTAAATAAGCAAAAGCCTATTTACAAAAATTATTCCTATTTACTTTCCAAAATCACAGAAGCCTCTATTATTTAAAGATGAACACCTTCTGGCCGGGCATGGTGGCTCTCGCCTATAATCCCAGCACTTTGAGAGGCTGAGGTGGGTGGATCATTCGAAGTCAGGAGTTCGAGATCAGCCTGACCAACATGGTTGAAACCCTCTCTCTACTAAAAATACAAAAAAGAAAAAAAAAAATTAGTCGGGTATGGTGGTGCAAGTCTGTAGTCCCAGCTACTTGTGAGGCTGACGCAGGAGAACTGTTTGAACTTGGGACGTGGAGGTTACAGTGAGCCGAGATTGTACCACTACACTCCAGCCTGGGTGACAGGCGACAGAGGGAGAATCTGTCTCCAAAAAAAAAAAAAATGACCACCTTCCAATATAACTATAGGTAGTCAAAAATTAAACCATTCAACTAAAAGACTAAATTTTGAAATTCAGCAAAAAATCAGTTATTGAGCATATACTACATGCAATGAATATATGTGTCAGGTTGTGCTGTAATTGAAATAAAAGTAAAATATGTTCCCTTTCTAAATATGTTTAAAAGTACTGATGGAAACAGACATGCAAATAGCAAATGCAAAATTAACCAAGTGCCATAATAAAGGTACAGTACAAAAAAATACTAATGGCTCACCTCCAGCAAAGTACTTCAAGGTTACCTTATTTTTCTTTTTATACTGATCTTTCTATGCTTCGTTACTTCCAAACATACTTCCAAACTGCCCCAAGGTAATTCACAAACATCATACTGTTCTAATACCACATGGTATTAGAACAAGGTGAAGATCAGAAAACTATATGTATTCCAGATTCCCATTTATATCTGTTAAAGGAGGTTACCAGAAGCCAAAAATATTCATATAAGAAATATCCAGCTGGGCATGGGGGCTCATGTCTGTAACCCCAGCACTTTGAGAGGTGAGATGGGAGACTGCTTCAGCCAAGAGTTCGAGACCAACCTGGGCAACATAGCAAAACCTTATCTCTACAAATAATTTTTAAAAATTATCCAGGCATGCGGGTGCATGCCTGTGGTCCCACCTTCTCAGGAGGCTGAGGTGAGAGAATTCCTTGAGCCCAACCAGTCAAGGCTGCAGTGAGCCACAATAATGCCACTGCAGTCCAGCCTAGGCAACAGAGCAGGACTGTCTCTCAAAAAAAAGAAAGAATAAAGAACTATCCAAACATTTTCTCCACAGTCCTAATTCCAGCATTTGATAACTGAGAAAGCAAATAAAACAAAGAAATTGCATACAGTCAACAACTTAATAAAACTCTATGAAACTAATTAAACTCTAATTTTTTTTGTCAGTATAGTCTTTCCAGAAGTCAGAGAAGGAAATATAACTGTAAGGTCCTTCGTAATATATTACTATTCTACCTAATCCATCTATAATGTTTAAGACTCTTAATTACACTCAAATATTTACACAAAATACTACAAATCTCCCCAAAATATTTAGCTGTCTTCATGAAACTAATGTCCAACCACAAAAGAGTTCATCAAAATTAAAGACACTCAAAAAAAAACACCCTTAAGCCGGGTACGGTGGCTCAAGCCTGTAATCCCAGCACTTTGGGAGGCCGAGGCGGGTCGTCACGAGGTCAAGAGATCGAGACCATCCTGGTCAACATGGTGAAACCCCGTCTCTACTAAAACTACAAAAAATCAGCTGGGCATGGTGGTGCGTGCCTGTAATCCCAGCGACTCAGGCGGCTGAGGCAGGAGAATTGCCTGAAACCAGGAGGCGGAGGTTGCGGTGAGCCGAGATCGCGCCATTGCACTCCAGCCTGGGTAACAAGAGCGAAACTCCCTCTCAAAAAAAAAAAAAAAAAAAAAAAAAAAAAAAAAAAAAAAAAAAAAAAATTAAAGGCACTCAAAAACTTTTCTAAAAAATTAAAAGGTTTCATGAACACCAGATATATAAACATGTATCTCAACAAGCATAAAGGGAATACTTAGGAAGACACTATTTATGAGAGACCATTTTCCTTTAACAAAATGCTACTTACTCTTTATCAAAAGTCTAAAATCTCAAGCCTTGAGAGTAAGCCAAAAAAATGAATTTGGTCTGGAGAGCATTAAAAAAAAGAGGCAGGCCGGGCACAGTGGCTCATGCCTATAATCCCAGCACTTTGGGAGGCCAAAGTGGGCAGATCACGAGGTCAGGAGATCAAGATCATCCTGGCCAATATGGTGAAACCCTATCTCTATTAAAATAAAATAAAAAAAATTAGCCAGGTGTGGTGGCGGGCACCTATAGTCCCAGCTACTCAGGAGGCTGAGTTAGCGGAATCACTTGAACCCGGGCGGCAGAGGATGCTGTGAGCCAAGATTGTGCCACTGCACTACAGCCTGGGCAAAAAAAAAAAACACCACAAAAAAAAAAAAAAAAAAAAAAAAAAGGCACAAAGTACAATTCTAACAAAAGTTAATTTTAAAATACAACATATAAAGTCTAAATATAACTAAAAATTAGAAGTAGCAAAGCTTACATTTCACATTTCAACATTTTACTATCTATATCTTCAAATAAGTCAAATAAGCTACCATGGCCAAGAGCATTCTTTCAATCTAAAAGAAGAAAATGGCTTTCTCCTGCCCAATGAGTAGATACATAGATATCAGAATTTAAAAAAAAAAAAATCCTTACAATGAGCTATTTTAAGTTTCTTCCACAGCACTAGGGGAATATACATGGTAACAGTAATAGCAGCAGTAGTGTAGTAGTGGTGGCCGCAGTCAGTGCTACAGTACAGGCATTATCAGTGTTAGTAACAACAGTTCTGACACGTATTCATTTAATTCACAACAATCCTATGAAATAAGTATCATCGTAACACCCATTTTCAAATTAAGAAATTGAGCCATGAGGCTATTGGTAAACTTGGTACTCTATATGAAATTTATATACACCTGGCAAAGCCATGATTTAAAGCAAAAAAAAAAAAAAAAACAATCAGAGTCTAAAACCTTTGAAAACCTGGTAAGATTAAACATTCACAAAGCATATTAACCGTCTAGGACAGATTATCATTTCTTTCCATTTCTGTAAAATTCTCACCAAAAGAAAGGCCCTTAGAGGGATTGCTGTATGTTCCTGGAGGAGAGAGATCAAGCTGTTTTAGCTCTCCAACAGCACTTCATTTCTACCTCAAAGAGAACTCCTCGGTTTTCTTCACTTGAACATAGCAATCATCAAACAAAATACATACTAAAGAGCAAATAGAAAATATAGAAACTTAAGAAATCTAGGTGCAAAATAGCTTGAGCCTCTAGAACCAGGCTGAAATCCTGGCACCACCACTTAACTCCTTGTATGACTTGGAGCAAGTTACTTAATTTCTCTATGCCTCAGATTTCTGTAAAATGGAAATAACAAAGGCATACACATAGATATATACACATATATAGTGTACGTATAAAAATAAAATATAGTGCCGTGTACCAGATCCTGTTCCAAGTCAGTTAACATATGCCTTTTGACTCATTTAATGCTTTCAGCAACGCTATGGGTAAATACTAACTACTATCACCTTCCTACAGATGAAGAACTGGGAAATAATCTTCCCGTGGTTACACGGCTAAAAATGGCAGAGGCAGGATCTGAACTGAGACAGTGTGGTTCTGGATTCCATGATCTCAATCAATAGAAGTACAACTCAGACAGAATTATGAAGATAAACCTAATTAATACATAAAATGCTGGCTGAATTCGGTGGCTCACATCTGTAATCCTAGCACTTTAGGAGGTTAAAGTGGGAGGACCACCTGAGGTCAGGAGTTCGAGACCAGCCTGGACAACATGGTGAAACCTTGTCTCTACTAAAAATACAAAAATTAGCCAGGCATGGTGGCACGTGCCTGTAATGCCACATACTCAGGAGTCTGAGACAGGAGAATCACTGCAACCCAGGAGGCGGAGGTTGTAGTGAGCTGAGATAGCACCACTGCATTCCAGCCTGGGCAACAGAGCGAGACTCCATCTTAAAAAATAAATAAATAAATAAATAAAACTGAATAGATAAAATGCTTACTCCAGGACCTGAACTGAGACAGTGTGGTTCTGGATTCCATGCTCTCGATCGCTAGAAGTACAATCCTCACAGAGTTATTACGAGGATAACCCGAGTTATTATATAAAATGCTTAGTACAGGACCTCGTAGGCAGTAAGCACTCAATAAATATTCATTATTACAGCATTTCTTGGCCTTACCTCAAAAGGTTTTTTTTTGTTTTTTTTTTTTTTGAGACAGAGTCTTGCTCTGTCGCCCAGGCTGGAGCGCAGTGGTGCGATCTCAGCTCACTGAAACTTCCGCCCGGGGGTTCAAGCCATTCTAATACCTCAGCTGGGATTACAGGCACGCGCCACCATGCCCGGCTAATTGTGTTATTTTTAGTAGGGACCGGGTTTCACTTTGTTGCCCGGACTGTTTTCGAACTCCTGGGCTCAAGCCATCTGCGAGCCTCCGCCTCTCACAGGGCTGGGATTGCAGACGTGAGCCACCGCGCCCAGCCCCGGTTTCTCATTTCTTACAGCAGCAAGGCAAGACTTGAGGCCAAACTCACTATTTCTGATCATCTGCTTAGTTCACAATCCTAAAAACCAACAGTTCTCATCTTCTTACCTGGAACCAAAGGCGTTCCAGAGACACACAAGACAAACGGGAAGAAATGACAACCGAAAGGAGGTTTCCAAGACGGCTATCACCCCAAGGGCCGTCCTGGGCAGGGGTACGCCTCTGAACCCACCAGTCGGGTACGTTTCGAGTATCCAAAAACTGCCGGCCAGAGCTGGCAGGGCTGACACCCAACGCCACCACCTGAATCCCGACGGAAACGGACTTACTTTTAGCCCAGCGAAGTTCGCCACGGCCGCTGGTGCCTCGCTGGCGTTCGGGCTGAATTGTAACGGAATCACCAACCTCCCGAGTTTTACAGCATCCGCGAGAGCCCAGCCGCCCCTCCCGGACGCGCCTTACCTGGCTTCCAGCAAGCCCCAGCCATGTCTCCGTCCCAGGCTTCTGCTAACTCTGAGGCCTGGAGACATCGGTGCGCGCTCCGGGAGGGCGCCCGAGCGCGGCTCCCGGCGGGCGGACGCTCCGGCGTGGCGGCCCGAGGCGGCACCGCGCAGCGAGGGCCAGCGCCCGCCCCAACGCCCAGCGGCAGAGAAGGCGCCGGAAGCACTGGTTTAACCGGCCGCAGCCCTGGCCGGGCTCTCGAAGACCCTTCCTCAGAGAGAACGGCTCGGGGGGACCCTTCCCCCGGCTCCCCGATAACGCCCACCGCGAGCGCGCTCCGGGAAGCCCGCGGGGTCCTCACAAAGAGCCGCCGCCGGCGGGCCGCAGCGCCCCTCCGGGGAGAAGAGACGCCCCCGCCCGGCGACCCTCCGGACCTCCGGCCCTCGGCGCCCCCGTCCCCGCCCCCACAGCCCCTCCTCCGCCAGCCGCGGCCGAGGGGCCGCCCGAGTCCCCCGCGGTCCAGCTCGGCTCCCGGCTCTCCGCTCGGGTCCGCCCACCCGCGAGAACACTCCGCCGGCAACCGCGGCCAACCGCCCCCGCCCCCACACCCCGCGCCGCTGCGTTCCACCCGCGCCCTCCCCGCACTCCGACTCGCTCCGACTCGGCCCCTCACCCAAAGACATATCGATTTTGTCGAGGTTTTCATTGCTGCGGGCCTTCGGCGGCGGCGAAGAGGTGGCCGTGGCTCCCACCAACCGGGTACCGAACCGGTTCATGGCCGGAGACGTGGCGCCGGGCGCGGGAGCGGGAGCGGGAGCCGGAGCGGGAGCGGGAAGGCCGCAGTCGCAGACCCGCCACCTCCCACTCGCGCACGCAGCCGGCCGCACCGCGGGAGCGCGCGCGCAGCCAGCCGCGCCGCGGGAGCGCGCACGCGCGAGCCTCGTCCTCGGCCTCCAGCCGCGCTGCGGGCGGGGCGGTGCCACCGAGACTCGCGGCCGGGCAGAGCGGCCCCACGCCGTGACTCGCTCCTAGCGACCCTTGCAGGACGGGACGACACACTGCAGCCGCTGCGCTGGCGCTCAGAGGACCGCCGTGGGGAGCAGCTCCGCTTTCGGCCCAGATTGGGGCTGCGAGAGCCCGACACTCTGAATCGCATGCCTTCAGTGGTGTCACAATCCTCCGTGGCCTTCGAGCCCCTCCTGCTGGGTACCCCCGAGCCGCGCGCACCCCACGGCCGTGCGGCCTCGGCCGGCGGGACAGACCCCCGCGAGCGCGGCCGCAGCTGCAGCCCCGCCCCGCCCCGCCCCGCCCCGCCCCCGCCCCCGCCCCGCCCCGCCCCGCCCCGCCCCTCCGCCTGCCGCACGCGGAGCGAACGCTGCGGTGGCCGTCCCCGCGCCACCTCAACATCCGAACCGTGCTAGCGTTTCCCGTGCCCGTACCGTCTCAGTCGGCACTCCCAAAACGCTCGGCGCGGACTTGACTGCCCTCCGGGACCTCAGCTTCCCTTGGGGGGGGTAAGTCCTTCTGTTGCAGCCGCATTTTTCTCTGATTCATTTGCACTGGGAACGGATAGAAGGATTCGTTTACCTTTTAATCATCCCTACAGGAAAACAACTTAATATTTGATAATTCCTGCATGATAACTTTTTTCCTGTTTACAACATGTGATGTTTCCCTCTCTTCTTAACACATTCTCCTTCCCTGAAGTAACTGCGTTTGTTTGGAAATCTTTAGGTTATATCATCCTCATAAGAACTTAAAACTACCTCAGGTATTTACATGTGAAGAAAATACCAGATGCATTCTGTCCACCTAGAAATCTCTGCCACCTTTCTCCTCTCCAGTTCCTAAAATGCAAAAATTCCTTCAGCATAGAAACGCGCCAGAACTTTGAGGTGACCGAACATATCTCAAAACCACAGTAGCCTCTGCTTAATTTAGTAATGTCACAATGTCACGTGGTTTCCAACTTCAACACCGGTGACACACTTTACTATTTTTTGCTTGGGGATCCCATGCTTTAAAATATATCTTATCCAATGGCACTTAAAAATTAAAGCCAGCTGTTCCAGCTTCCCTTTGCATACCTGAATTTAAAGCAAACGTTACAGTGACAATTTTGCAGTCACCTTAATAAAAGTAAATGTAAACGTTTCCTGTATATGCAGCATGGATAAAACTAGTCTTTACACAGATTATGTTTCCAGCTGAAATCAAAGAACCATGACTTTTTTGTAAGCCTAGGTAGTCTTATATCGGGGAAATGTATGATTTTTATTTGGCTTCTGGGAATAGTCTCAATAACTTCTTATTCTCAAAGGTCAAGTTGTTGTTTTTGGTTTTCTCATGACAAAAACATAGCCATGTAGGAAGAGTGAACCACACACCTATCAAGGGGCACAAGAAACTTTAATGGTGGAGGAAAGTTTGGACTCAGAAACCCAAGAACAGTATTTGGCATGTCAGGGAGAATATCATGTATGTTCTTAGCATAACGGGCTTGATTTTACTACTCTCTCATCCTGAAGCCCTCACACCTGTCTGGACTTCTAAAAACTAGAGAAACTGGGTTGTGGGTTCCAGACCTGAGATTTATTGAGTGGTACCTTTTTCACTTACTTTAATCATTCACTGCATGATTTTGGGAGTCTCTGGACCTCATACCCATCTTCAAAACAAGAAAGGAGGAATAATAGTAACTATGAAAAGTACACTAAGTTATTCCTAAAATTCCTTGCAGTTTTAAAATTCTCTAAGCAGAAGTCATTTTTCTCCACATTAGCCTTTTCTCACTAGAAATAACTTCTACAATCTCTGTTCATTTGTGGGAATAAACTACAGAGAGGAACCTTAGGCTAAGTTCTGAATTTTATGAAGAAAACTAATGCAATTAGAGTTTGGATGCATTTTATACTTCAGGTATTTAAAGGACAGATAAAAATCCCAAATGTATAAAATCCTCCTTACCACTAATATAATAAAGATTCTCAGCCTAGTGCAGTGGCTCACGCCTATAATCTCAGCACTTTGGGAGCCTAAAGCAGATGGATCACTTGAGCCAGGAGTTCAAGACCAGCCTGGGTGACACAGTGAGATCCCGTCTTAAAAAAAAGATTCTCTTTTAACCTGATCTTCTCCCCCAAACCAAAGCCCTGTCCCCAGTCTCCGTAGTGGAAAAGGGCATGCTGCAGTCTTTCGTGAAACAATCCTAGCTGTTGTGTTGCAGACATTCAGGTTTCCCCAAGATCCAAGAGTCTTGGGGTCTAAGAGCAATCACCCAGATTCCAGAGGGAAAGGCAAGAAAGCAAGAGTGAGGCATTGTGGGTAATGCCTCATACACAAAACAAAACAAAATAGCAACCTGAGACACACACAGTAAAAATAAAGAGGAAGAAAAGCCAAGACAAGACAATCAGAACTGGGGCCTGTCCAAGAAGTCCATCAGCCAACTACAAGGGCTAGGGTTAAAAGGTCAACCCTGCAATTTTCTGGGGTATGAGAGGCAGCTATTCATTTAATCATATATTCATTGAGCGTCGGGCATTGTAATAGGCCCTAGGGATTAAAAAAAAATAGTGAGCAAGATGGGTGCACTCCCTACCTTCGTACAGCTTGAAGAGCAAAAAAATATCTCAGCACCTACTGCAAATAAGGCCCTGCGCCTGACATGGGGCATCCAGCCTTTGTCTGGTGTACAGCAGTTCAGCTTCATCTAAGTCAAAATAAACATGGAATTCAAGCACCTGCCATTTTAAAAGACTAGGATTGCCAGATAAAATGCAGGACCAGATAAATTTGAATTTCAGATAAACAAGGGACAATTGTTTAGAACAAATATGTCCCAGGTTTCAGAAAAACAGCGATTTATTTTTTACTACAGTACGTTTCATGTCATTTTTAGGATATATTTACAAGAAAGCATCATTTCATTGTGCAAAATAAAATAATCAAACTTAAAGCTGCTGAAACTTTGAATTATTCTGAGCCTTGAGAGGGGCGTCGCTGTGTGGCTGACTCAGCAGCATGCAGCTGGAACGCCTGCTTTTTCCTGTAAGTGATCTGGGATGACTGAGGAGGGCCAGAGATAAGACTCCCTCAGAACACCACACCTCCTCGCAGAATATGAAAGCAGTCTTCCTTGGCAAGTTGTACTAATCAAATCGTTAAAACTGTTTCTGCCTAATTAGTGAAATCTTAGCTTCCTCACTTTTGAGCACTGACCCCCTTTCTTTGGAGCCTGTGTTTCTGGATGGCTGACCTCAAGCTTTGTGCTGTAATAAGCCGTACAGTCTTATTTTCTGAATCTCATTTTTTAAGGTTGACATTTGTTTAACTGAAAGTCAGGTTTAACTGGGAGTCTTATATTTTATTTTTATTTGCTAAATTTGGCAACCTTCTCAACCTTATACTTTTCTTTCCTTTCTTTCTTTTTTTTTTGAGACAGTCTCACTCTGTTACCCAGGCTGGAGTGCAGTGATGCAATCTCACTGCGAACTCCGCCTCCCAGGTTTAAGCGATTCTCCTGCCTCAGCCTCCCCTGTAGCTGGGATGACAGGTGCCTGCCACCACGCACAGCTAATTTTTTGTGTGTGTGAGACAGAGTCTCACTTTGTCGCCAGGCACCAGGCTGGAGTGTAGTGGCGCGATCTCGGCTCACTGCAACCTCCTCCTCCCGGGTTAAAGCAATTCTCCTGTCTCAGCCCGCCCCCAGGAGGTGGGACTACAGGTGCGTACCACCACGCCCAGCTTATTTTTGTATTTTTAGTAAAGACGGAGTTTCACCATGTTGGCCAGGATGGGTCTCAATCTCTTGACCTCATGATCCACCCACCTTGGCCTCCCAAAGTGCTAGGATTACAGGCATAAGCCACCACGCCCAGCCTAATTTTGTATTTTTAGTAGAGACGGGGTTTCACTATGTTGGCCAGGCTGGTCTTGAACTCCTGACCTCAGGTGATCCACCTGCTTTGGTCTCCCAAAGTGCTGGGATTACAGGCGTGAGCCTCCGCACCGGGCTCAACCTCACACTTTTTCTGTTAACACTTTCTGGTTCCTTTTTCATAATGTACACAGAAATCTACATTTCTTCAAAGGTAAGCACAACTCTTTTTTTTTTTTTTTGAGACGGAGTTTCGCTCTTGTTACCCAGGCTGGAGTGCAATGGCGCCATCTCGGCTCACCGCAACCTCCGCCTCCTGGTTCAGGCAATTCTCCTGCCTCAGCCTCCTGAGTAGCTGGGATTACAGGCACGCGCCACCATGCCCAGCTAATTTTTGTATTTTTAGTAGAGACGGGGTTTCACCATGTTGACCAGGATGGTCTCGATCTCTTGACCTCGTGATCCACCCGCCTCGGCCTCCCAAAGTGCTGGGATTACAGGCGTGAGCCACCGCGCCCGGCCGGGTAAGCACAACTCTTATACACTTCACCCGTTAACTTTTTTCGGTTTGATTTGTATTTCAAATCCCCCTTTTCTTAGCTTTGGGATATATTTGACATTAAAAGACACACACTGAACGTATGCAGTTTATACAGGTATACAGTATAGATGCCTGTGAAAACACTACCGTAATCAGAATAATAAACATTGTGATATATTCATTATTTTCTGATGTCTTATTGTGCACCTTTGTAATCCTCATCCTCCACCTACTATCTAGGCAACTGGATCTGCTTTCTGTTGCCTGTAGATTAATTTGCATTTTCTAGTATTTTTAATAAATGGAATCATACAGTATGTACTTTTTTAACTGGATTATTTCACATCGGATAATTTTTTTTTTTTTTTTTTTTTTGAGATGGAGTCTCGCTGTCACCCAGGCTGGAGTGCAGCGGCACAACCTCGGCTCACTGCAACCTCCGCCTCCTGGGTTCAAGCGATTCTCCTGCCTCAGCCTCCCAAGTAGCTGGGACTACAGGT